GATCCTGCTCGCACAGTATACCGTTAATATCGAAACCTACGTTCGGCAGGTCATCATCATCTATCATGCGTGACAAGAAATCCGCCGTTTGATTTCCCCTCCCCGGCACGTGTTTTATCGTGAAACCATACTCATGTTGGCGCAATGCCCATCTCGCCAGCTTTCCTCTGGGGTCTTTGGCAGACTTAATCCACCCCAACAGTCTGCGGTCTGTTTCGACGTGAAATCGCTGACCCTGGAGATATGGTCGCCATTTGTCCAACGCCAGACAGTTGCGAGACATTCTTTCTCTATGGTTGAGTATCTGCGTTCCGCAGGTGTCAAAGTTCAGCAGGCATACTCAATCGTCCCATGGTTTTGCTTCAACACCGCACCGATCCCGACATCGCTGGCGTCAGTGGCTACCGTGAACACCTCACCAGCAATGGGCACTTTCAGGGTCAACTCCTGCCTTCCCATTTCCTGTAAAATCTGAGCAAAGGCTCGTTGAGCTTCTGCATTCCAAGTGAATTTCCTGTCTTCTTTCAACAGCTCGTACAAGGTGTTAAAATCCTTGACGAATTTGCTGTAGTACCCGGCGCGGCCCAGGAATGTACGGAGTGCGTTTCGAGGTGGGAACTAGGCTGCCTTGTGTCGTCATTATCTTCTCAGGTAGCGGTTTCAGTTCGCCTTGTCCCACTTTATGGCCCAGTAAGGTGACACAGGTCTTTCCGATCTGGGATTTTGGTCCATTTATACGAAGTCCCGACTGCTGAATACGTTCCAGAACTGCCGCGAGATGATGGATATGTTCCGTTTCTGATTGGCTATACACCACGATATCATCCCAGTACACAACCACGTTTTCCAATTCACTCAGCAATCACAGCATTAGACGTCAGAAGGCAAACAGGGCTCCTGATAATCCAAAGGGCATCCTCTTAAACTGGTACTGTTTCTCAACAACGGTAAACACCGTCTTCTCTCGATCTTCCTGTTTTATTGGCAATTGCCAGTATCCTGATCTCAAGTCCAGGACCGTGAATATCCTCGACTGCTGCAGCCGATCAAAAATGTCAGCAACTGATGGAACTGGAACGAAGCGAGTCAAGGAAATTTCATTCAGTCTTCGGAAGTCGACACAGAATCGGTACTTCCCATTCGTCTTCTTCACTAAGACCACATGAGAGTTGTACGGGCTATGTGCCTCCTCAATCACGCCCGCGTCCAGCATTTCCTGCACTTGCCTGTTCACCTCAGCCTCCAGATGGATTGGTATCCTTCGAAGTCCATGGGGTCGATACGGTTGGCGAGTTAGCGGGATGGGGTGCTCGATCCAACCGCAAAACCCATATTGGCTGCTGTCATCCGTAAACAAGGGTTGGTATTTGTTGACCAACGACTGCAAAGATGGGCTCAAATGTAACACAGCAACGACCGACTGCGAAGATCTCATTTCTCCACGATTAATGAGTGGTAGTGACCCGCATTCCATTAGCAATTTCCCACGCTTTAGATCAATGACAGCTTTATTGAACTCCAGGAAATCTGCTCCCAATATGGTTTGTTTCGCATCTGGTGCTACAAGAAAGAAGTGTGTTCGCTTCCGTCCCCCGGTCCCCACGGTGTGTTCGGTTATCCCATCAATTCCCACTGAATGACCGCCAACCGCTCTTACGATCGTGCAGCACTACTGAAGCTTTTCACCTCGCCGATGGTTGATTAGTGACACCGCGGCACCCGTATCGATCAGACACCTTTCCATCGTTCCGTCTACTTCCACCATTGCTTCAACCGCACTCCTGCTCAACGCCCCAAGTACACAATCCTCGATCCGAAAAGAAAAATAAGGTTGCACACGTTTATTCGTCGCACGAGTAACACCACACATCTGCGGACATTGTCTCTTCCAGTGCCCCGGTTTCCCGCAGATGAAACAACATCCCTTTGTGCGCACCCGACAACGCTGAACGCGAAGCCCATTGATTTCTTCCGTAACCTGTTCCATCATCCGTTTCAAGTTGTCCATCCGTTCCACATTCTCATGAGGCTCTTCCTTCAGCGCAGCTAGTGGTGCATCGCCCAGGTCTCGAGTAACTTGCGCCAACTCCTCCAATTGCATCTTCCGAGTAGCATTCGCAATCCGAACGCGCTCCGCGGTTGGCTGTGGGAGGCCGGCCAAAAACTGATCCACCAGCAACTGTGTCTTTGACGGCCCATCCAACCCAGGCAAGGCGCGGTCCAACAAGCTCCTGAGGTGCACCGCAAACACGAGGGGATCCGTCCCAGCACCAAGCCTCGACGCCTTGAACTGTCGCATCGCCTCCTGGCGGTCCGCTGGCGTGTCCAGGCCAGAGAGCAACGCTTCCTTCGCGGTGGTCCACTCCAACTAGACCGGACTTCTTCGCGCCGCCTCCAGAACCGCCTTCGCCCTGCCCTTGAGAAGACTCCGCAGGGCCGCCATCTTCGCCCGGTCCGTCTTCAGTCCTACCGCCTCTGCCACCTCCTCGAAATCCTCCAAAAACGCCTTCACATCCCCGTCTTCAAATGGTTCCGGCCAGGGAAGCTTCGTGACTTGCGAGGTCATGGCACCAAATGTTAGAACCCAAGGGGCAGGCGGTAATTGTTTATTGCTAAAGTGGCTTACACTAAGTGTGTTCGTCCATACCTTGGAGGCGTCCGCTCATCTGCGTGATCCACATGGAGTGTTCCCCAACTGGTGCTTGCCTCTGTGTTCACTCCTCGTGCGCATGGAACTGTAATCCTGATGTCATCTTCAGCTTTTGGGGAAGTCGGCAGGGCTCGCTGTTGGTGTGTCATCTTGCACCACCACCCTACTTATACCCGGCGCAGTAGGATCTACCTTTAATCCACCAGAATGTGACGAATTTCTACCAATACAATTCAACTCCCTCTACTACTCCTCTGTAATCATACTGAATATGTTAGACAAATGGCTCAAAATAATGTTCAAAAACATTGACGGAATCTGGCCCAAACGACCTATGAACAGTTATGAACCTACGATTAAATTATTCTTCTTTTATCCTTACGCATGCAATGAAAGTTATGTATATCCAAATCTACGCTTCCTCATCTTAACACTGACGGTTCCGGAGTTAGACTACAAAGCAAATTTATGGATAAAAATACAAACATCCATAATGAATAAATGCATTGCAAGTGATCGGGTCGAGGATATATGAATCAAGTAACAAAGAAATTGCTGACTTGAGGAAATCCATGAGTTGTAAATTTTTGTTTCAGAACAAGGAAACTTTAGCAATACTTATGGGTACAAATGACCGTTCCACCAAGGGATCGTAAACTGCTTGTTAGGAAGTACGCACATCCACATCAACGAGCTGCCCTAGCTTCTACGGTCGCCGTGTGCACTGTTTGCGGATGACCTCAAAATTTGGCGAGAAATTAATACTCTCGATGACTGTGACATTCTCCAACAAGACCTCGACCGCCTCGCAGTATGGTCTGCTGAAGTCCACCCACCGGTCAACCCGACAAAGTCCCTATGCATGAATCTCGGGAAGGCTGTTAACGACCGAACGTACACCCTAGACGGCCAACCACTGCATCCCACACCTTCCGTGAAAGACCTAGGTGTACTCTCACGCTGCGACTTGAAGTCCGTCGACAACACCAACAAACTGTATCGAAACGGGCTGCGCATGCTCTGGGCGCTGAAGCGCAGCTTCTGCACTTGGTCTGAGGACGTCGCTACTCGCCTCTTCTCTTCCATCGTCAGACCAATGCTAGAGTACGGCTCGCCTGCATACTGTCCGATCACTCGCGGCGAAGCGCAAAAGATCGAACGAGTACAACACGTCGCCACCAAGTTGATCCCCAGCTTGAGAGGCTTATCGTATGAAAACCGGTGCATGAAACTTGAGATCTAAACCTTGGCGTATCGCCGTGTTCGACTGGATCTTATCATGACCTACCGTATTTTACATCTCGGTCATTTCCCCATGCTAAGGTCGTTACTCCACTTGCGAGTACCATGCACCACATGTGGGCACAGGTACAAACTCGTGGTACCTGATCTGAAGAAAATCCCACACCCCTGTGTTTCGAGCGGAGGGTTGTGCACGCCTGGAACAGTCTGCCAGAACACGTCGTCGAGGCCGAATCTGTGCAGAAATTCAAATCTTTGTTTGATGTACACTTCCCTAACACGTTTCAGAGAACGGTTGCCACTTGACAACGATATCACCCACTTGTGATTCACTGTGTGAACAAGCATTTTGTGTGCTACGGAAGGAGTTGCTGAACCATCTCAGGATAATCACCGGACGTGTTTATTTATTTTCTTAAAATGTTTTTGATTATCACCCGATGGAGTTGTACAGAATTAGTTTCTACTTGCTCCAAAATACAGTATTCAGTATAGGGTACTCCTCTCTAATAATAAGTATTATCACGGATTAGATCATATTGCCGAAAAAAGTCGCGAATAGTCGAAGGAAGTCGTAGGTTGGAGACTAACCTTGTTTTTCAGGCGGCAGTAGTACGCAAGGTAGTTCAGGATGAGACACACCGTAGGTAGTAATTGGCTACGCCGGCCCGCCGCCGCAACCCATGGGTCGATAGCTCAAGTTGCTGGTTCGGATTCAATGCGATAAGATGGATGCGTGCTGCTGACGAAAGGACTCTCTATAACTTTTCGGGATGTGTGACAGGTGTCTGACTAAGTCTCCTACAACGAACCATCCAGTAAAGTAGATAGAAACTCAATGCTGAATGATCGCTTGCAAACGGGTCATTTCCTAACCTCATGGATGTTAGATCCTGCTTATCCGTTGCAGAGTAAGCCGAACAACTGCGTACGTCGGCACGCAGTACCGAAGGTTCGCTGCCGCTCAACCAGCACAGGTCAAACGTGGGCTAAGGATGACGCGAGGATCGGCTTGCCGTTAAGAAGGCTCGAAGCCGCGCTGTCAGATTACAAGACAAGCCTGTTATCTTTAGACTAAGGACCGGCAACAATTGGAGTGACTCCGCTGTGGAGTGTGTAAATGTGCAACTAAACTATGCAGCAGGAAGATTCGTTCTAGACTGTACATTACGCGAATAAAAAGAGCGAACCTCGCTTTCCATACTTGGAAGAAAAATCGGTGCGTCGTGAAACTAGTGCAGTGCAAGTGGAAGGGGTGGATTTGGGCGGGTATACGGGAGTAAATCGCAGTATAGTAACAGTTCAGAAATGAAGAGATCGGAGCTACGAAGGAAGGCCTGCGTGCTTGTAAATGCGGGGAAATGGTGGGCCACTGATATCCCAAAAAGTACCGCGCGATGCGATGGAGTCGAGTCTGCACTTGTTTTCAGAAAATAGTCGTCGTATTACACGAAAAAAGGAAAATAGTGATTTAAAGACCAAAAAGATTATGAGTGCAGAGAGTAGAAAGGGGGACAAGAAGTGAAAAAGTTTGCAGGGAGTTCAGGCGGTTTTTGCTTGATGTATGACGAAACGCTGGCGGGCATGCTCCATGAGTTTTTTCCGACGCTCGATCAAGCTGGACTGTCGAGCATTCGAATTAGAGTGGAATGTCTCGGCGGCCACATTCATACGGCTGGCTGGAATCAGGCTGGCATGAGGCGTGGGAATCTGGACGGATTGCTCGTGCTCAGAAGTGGCCAGCATGTCTATCGCGGCGTCCACATCACCGTCGGTCGCGACTGCGATGGTGGAGAGAAGAAAGAGGGAGAGTAACAGCTGCGTTATCACCGAAGAAAGCATAATGGAGAGTCAACCGAAGGTATCGACTGAGATGCCCATCCGGAATAAAAGATTTCCAATATAGCGCATATCCTACTAATTAAGTCTCCTGGGACAAATAATCGTGTCCGAAAGTTCGAAGTCGGACCCCCATCTATAAATAGGAACGGGTTCCGTTCCTTAATAAAAAGAGAGAGACGAGTGAAATGATAGATGAGAAACTGACACCAGATCGGCTTCGCTCCGAGGCACTACTGAAACCAGGCCTGTTAGTAATGGAATGATAATTCAGGTATGCTTACGTAAACCGTCATAATTTTCCACTTTTACTTAGCTGAGCTCGTTCCCTGGCGTTGTTAACATGTCACTTCGTTAACCCCATTGGCTGTCTAGAGTCGTAGTTTTTGCTCCCGGATCGCAGCCTTACACTGATGTTAATGCTATCACCTCTCGGTGTGTACAAATGATTGGTTCCTAATTTGTTGTACTTCTTGACTTTGTCTGTACGCACACCTTCAGCACTCGGATTGGCTTGTACATTAATGCGTCATGTTAAAGAAGGATGCTATATCCTTAGTAAAAGAACCCTGAGTCTTGCTCTTGCTCGTTCGCGTTCACACTACAGTTAGTGGGTGCAAGCAGTCTCGAGTCCGAGATAACAAGACGAGAAACCAAAAATAAACGGTATGAGAACGAAGTGACGCATCGAATTAACAATCGCTAGGGTACATAAGGCAGAGACGACAACCGATTCATGTGCATGCATAGGGCACGAGAAGGGCAGTTAAGTCGAGCAACGCGTAGAGACCGAGATAGATAATTGCGGAATTGTGCTGCGGTTCGAGAACCGAATTGACCTTGGAGCAAGCAATCTGACACACATCAAAATGACAACAACAACAACAACAACAACAACAACAACAACAACAACGACGATCGGAAATAGACGCCTAAGTGAGAAAGACAAACGAATTACATTCATAGAAAGAAGGCAGAACTAATCACTGGGCACTCATTGTGTGTACAGAGTGCGACAAGGAAACAAATGTCAATGAAGACCGCAGAAATAAGACGGCGAGTTGGCCGTCCAACTACTCAGCGTTAAGCTACGAAACTATGAATTGACCAAATTAGCCACTATGTAGATTAAAGCATTGAGTACATCAAATGCAGTAAAATGTCCAAATTTGATCACTTTTATACCCCTTATCAACACCCTAAGTTAACTGCTTTTTCATTACTTTGACGTTCCCCATGTAAACGTTTTGGATCTAGACCTTGGTAATGTGACGACTGAGGCGCAATCCCTCGAGTGGTCAACTTATGGATGTTTTACCGTACGGGGCCTATAGAGCCTCATCCTGAGCAGAAAGGTGTTTGCTCCTCCCTAATCTGGGATTAACGTGCTTAAGTGAATGGACGAAGGAGATTCAATGCCAATAATTTTATCACCACCGATGTTAGTCAAATACCCCCGTAGTTAACCTAGTGGGTGCGAGTGCCTTCCTTCTATATTGCCACTATGATCGATTCACCCTTTCACACCTGTTCTAACGAGTGAGGCAATGCTTGAGAGATTGCAGCACCATCCTTAAATAGTGCGTGTACCAGGGAATTTGGGCCAGCAGCACGAAAAGGATTAAGGGCTGTGACCATGTTTCGGACTTCAGTCTCTGACGGAGCACCCAATCTAAGCAACGATTGATCAGCCTGCACCACCTTAGCAGGAAGAGGTCCGGGAGCAGGGGACCAACTGAACTGATCTCGAAAATGCTCCACCCAACGAGCCATACGGCATTCCATATTGTGAATGAGGGCGCCTGCGCGTATGGAGTTGTCTCCTTGACACCTGGTTTCCTGGGACCAGTGGTGCGATTCAGTTGAAGTTTGTGATAATTTGTTCTGCTCCCGCCTCCTCTATTTCCTGACCCTTTTTTGTTCATCAGACTTCTTGGTCAGCACGCAGGCTAAACTTTAGTTCGCGCCTAATAATCCGTCTGGTTACATTATGTTCAGACTAGGCAGGGAGTATGCTTCTGGATTCCAACAGGTTCGCAGACTTCTCGGATACTCAGTGCATGGTACGGTGACGACTGGCAGTACAGCAAACAGGCACCAGCGTGGTACATGGCGCTCGGGATTCTATTCCCCTAAAACTCGGTGTCCTGGGAGTTCGAGGTTGAATATTTGGCACGCAGGGTATCTTGGCACTGGGATGGGAGACCCTATCAGTAGCCAATCGAAGTAGGCGCTCTTAACGCTTCGCGGTAAATTCCATAGAAAAATGAGAACGTACCAAAGCATGATCAGAGTCGATGCATATGTACCAGAATGAGCGGCAATCCAGCATGAGACCCCGCCAGTTTAATTTATGACAACGCGATCTATTCGGGTCCATCGCTGGTGAGGTATACGGGAACGCTAAGTGGCACTTTGGTGCCCACTGTGCCTAAGAGCAGTGCTACTAAGAAACAGCCAATGAACAATGAACAATGATTTATCACGGGATAAAAGCAAGTGCTTGACACGTCCCGTAGGATGGTAGCGGTGAATATGATGCAATTAAAATATGTCTGGGTCATCTATCGAACGTCTGCCGAGATGAATACTTTGATAATTAACATCAGTGTAAAATGAAAAAGAAATATCGCGCGTAAACATTCAGAAAGACACTGGGGCGCAGTGATAGTTGAGGTAAGGAGTGAGAAAATAAAATATGGTCGCTCACTTAGGTCCATTTGGTACATTAGTCCTGTTGAAAACATGCTTGGCGTAATCCACAACAGAGGAGCTTAGGTAACAAAACGTTGGGAGCTGAGAGCAACATTTAATCGTTTTTTGAAAACATCCAGGGTAGGAGAGGATACTACTGAGTCTGGGAGTGCGTTCCATGGTTTGCAAAACCGAAGGGAAAAGTAATTCCGTCGACACTCTAGACGGCTATATCGTTCCTTCAACTTTAAGCAGTTACCCCTGAGCTGCGTGTTGTGGCTAAGTTTCAGCAAATGGCGGCATACGTGGTTGGGGTCACTCAATATCTGATACGCTAATATGAGATCACTGCGCAGCCTTCGATAACGTCCGCTGAAAATTCCCAGCAACTTCAGCCTTCGGTGGTAAGAGTGATACCGCAGGCCCTTCACGTTCTTTGTTGCTCTCCGTTGTGGTGCCTCTATCGCTTCTAGGTCGCGTTTCAACCAAGGTTGCCAAGCTTGGATTGCGTACTCAACTTGCGGGCGCACGTAGGAATTGAGCATCATTGGGAAGATTGATGGGTCAAATCTCCCGAATGCCCTTCGCAGCATGCCGACGTGCTGGTTGCCTCTTTTGGCAGCTACCTCAGCCTGTTTTGAACAGTTGAGGTCGCTCTGTACGATCATACCAAGATCACGTTCCTGGGAGCTATTCTGCAATTCGTTTGTCCCAAGTATGTAGGTGTAGTTATGTCTATGGCGTAATTGTACTACGCGACATTTTTCGGTGCTGCGCACACTGTTACAAGAGTCGCTCGCCGCTGTCCGTCCGTATCTGAGTTAAGCCCATACTCGCCATCTAGCTGAGTTTCGGAAGAGTACATATGGCCGAATTACGCATGCATATCCCCTGCAAGAACGGTGATCTCTGAACCGGTAGCACTGCGCAGTAGCGGGTTCAGTTCGTGATAGAAGGTATCTCTGGCAGCATTAAAAGTGCAGTCGGTGGGGGCAATCACAAACGAACAGCATCTAGTACTACCTTGTAAACCTACATTAGCTGATATCGTCAAACAGCTGCTTACGGGAATCCAACCGATCAACGATGATTCAGCACAAGCTGAGAACCATGCTCACACTAGCTTGCCCAGTGATTGCCGTATCAGCGTCTCCGGATGCGTGAAACCAATAGAGAGAGGATAAGCCAGGTGTAATTAATTCAACAGCCCCGTGATCCTAGTTTCGGACACGCAACACATGGGATATGCATATAACGAATATGCGGTAGGGATACCGCACAGGTTTTCAAAAGTAAGGAATTAGATTACGTCGATTCAGTCCAGCTGAAAGTTAATAGGGCGACGTGATCCTTGCAAACACATCACCCCCGTTGGTTGTGAGTGACTAAAACGTAACTGATTCATCGACCTCGAAGTAACTCCGTATTTTCGTGTCCCACGATGTAGCCTGATCCATACGTTCATGTTCTCAAACTATCAATGCCTTCAGCACCCCATGCTGTTTTACAAGTTCGTAAATGCATGAATTCTTCTTCATAGGTTATACTGCACTTTTGTTATTTTCCCCAGGCCCCTTCAAATGGATTACATCCTGTGTGTATGATGCTTTGGTTAAAAAACAGTCCATCGCTGATTTGATCGTCGTTAAGTATTTCGATACATGCATCAAACATTTCCAAGGATAGTAAACGACCTCTCTCACCCACCACACTCATACTTTACCGGTAAACTATCGGCATCTTTCACGTGATGAAAATTCGAAGCGTACTTTCCTCCTACATCAAGGTATGGAAATTTCGTCTTGTCATGTCTGTCATGCCTACAAGTCGATCGAGTCGGGATGATGCACACGCTGCACAACCATAGGTTCAAGCGAAGTTCCGCAGATCTCTAATAATGTCAATTTATATTTTCATTGGCGACATGTACCAGTACAGCCGGAGTGATAATTCAAACGCTATAAACATATGAGTGTGCAAAGATATTTTTGATTGACTTGCAGCAACGTCTGTCCTAAAAGCACATCTGTGCAGACAAGAAGTATTCATAGTATTTTTACTTGACCATAATTATTATTACCGGTTTCCATGGTTCATCAGTTGCATCATGACTGGGGACGGTATTGAAGAAGAGGTCTCACAAAGAATCGCTAAGGCCCACCTTGCCCTCAAAAGACAGAGATACCTATGATTCCGTCAACAGGTCAGAGGCAGGGTGTACAGTGCCTTTGTCCGTACGGTGCTGGTGTAATCATCATCAAAAACAACAGCACATCAACCAACTGAACTGATGTTTCGCTGTCATACAACCAAGGTGACCTACCGAACGGAGAACAATAAGAGGGAAAGAAAGGTGACCTGCGGTAAAACCTTATTACTCCAAGCAAACATTCAGGGTCAAGGTGCCTACACCTTGTGTAGACAACATACCGTCGCAAACAACTGGCTATCGTGTAAAGATAAGGTGGCAGCAGCGAGACAGCTTCCTTGCGGCTTTCACTGCCACGCGTCATAATCAGCCATTACTCCGCAGATAACACAGCATCAAACACACTTTAAACAGGCAGTCCGACTAGGAGACTGCAGCAGACGCGCCACTGGTGTCGACTGCGGGCCATGTCCTGTAATATCTCGTGCCAAGTACAAGGCGAGTCACGTGGACTCCAGCACGGAAGGCGAGATAGTCCAACTGCACCCAGTTTGGTCGTCAATGGCTTTATTTCACGCTGCCAAGTCAACTTCTGTCCACCTCGGGCCTTGCGCCACCCTACACCTGGTAGAGTGAACAAGGCCCTCCTAGGTAAACAGCGACCAGGCATACGTAGTAGCTGCCCAAGCCAACGTAACTTATTCAGTGCCATCTGTTGTTCTAAGGAACTAGCCTGGTTATCACTGCCTAGTACTCGCTTGCGCACATCATTGCTGCAGACCACCTGCAACCATCCGACACCAGCGATGGTTCGCAAACAACGATGAGCAAAGAGTTGAAGGCGCCGCAGATCCTCAGACAGAAGGGGTCAAGTCTTGCTTCCAGGGAGTAGGACGACCCTCACTGTGACCTGTGTGACCTTTTAGACAAAGGCAAACTCCCTTCTGACGTCACAGATTCAAGAATGCAGTTCTAGCTTTTATAATGCGTGAAGTGACTTCAGTTGCTTATACAACTGTCAAGGTAAGTGAATTGCTCAACTACCTCGAGTTGCTCGCTATATAGGGTCAAGAGATCATCAAGTGGCTGGTGGTCCTGCAGCAAAACTTTGCACTTTGAAGGTGCAAAGTGCATACCAAGTAATGGAACCACCCTACACAGGTTATTCAGGGTGATTGCGTCGACTCAACATCGTTAAACAGTAAGACGATATCGCCCGCATAATCAAGATCAACTAGCTTTTCATCAGACAGTTTCTCGACGCCTGTATCGTGAGATTCCGTAAGGGAACACTCCATGATGCAATGCACGACGAAAATGAACAAAAATGGGGAAATTAGGCAACCCTGACGAACGTCACTTGTTGTCGGAAAGAGAGCTGATAAATCACCGTAGGCCCTGGCGCGGCCTGTGGTGTTTAAGTACAGAGCATGCCAAATGTTCGCATATTTCATGGGAACAAATCTGCGTGCAACTATTTTCAACAGAATGTATCGATCGATTGAATGGAACGCACTCGAAGTCCAAGATCATAGCCAATGTCGGACTGCGGTACGTGTGGCGTCGTTCTAGCACCTGCCGCAGAGTAAACAGCCACGTTCTGGGCGGAAGCCGGCGAACGAGAATTGAGGCCAGTAGTTTTGGAACCACCGGCGTAAGGCAATACCCAAGTTGTTAGTTAGCCGGTGGCACTGCAGTGCTTGCATATTACAACCATAACCTATCCGCTCCAGTTAACTAGGATGGTCTCTGTCCTTTAGACCTGCTCGAACAGGGAGATCAGTGCTTTGCAGACTTCACCGCCATGCTCTAATAGTGCGGGTGCGAGCGAATCCGGGCCAGCAGAACGAAAACAATTAAACGCTGCGGACCTCGACCTCTGGCTCAGCCTGCAACACCAGAGTAGGAAGGCGTCCAGAAGCAAGGGGACAAATGAACTGAACCTGGAAGTGTTCCACCCAACGAGCCATACGGCGCACCGCACTGTTGCTGATTGTCTAACTGACGCTTGGTTCCCTGGGACTAGTGTAACGGATCAGCTGGATGAACTTGCGATAATTGCCTCATTTATTGGGCCCGACTGGTCCACCACGCCATCTTGACAGCGCTCACGCTACGCTGCAGTTCGCGCTTAATAGTCCGCCTGGTCGAATTGTGCTCAGAGCCAGCCGGGAGGTTTCTTCTGGATTCCGACAGGTTCACCGACCTCTCGGTTATCCAGTGAATGAGGCGCTGACGATTGAGTGTCACAAGGGAAAACTCCTGCATCGTGCATGGCGGCCGAGATCCTATTCCACTGAAGCTCAGTGTCATTAGGACAAGAGAGCGTAAGTTCGGTACGCAGTGCGTCTCAGTAACCAATCGGGGGAGATGCTTGGTGCGCCTCTCGGTAAAGTTCATGGAGCAACGACAGCGTACCAAGGCATGACCAGAGTCGACGCAAGCACTCCAGAAAGAGTGACAATCCAGTATGGAACCACGGCACATGTAACTTATGGCAACGAGATCTATTTGGGTCCATCGCTGGCCAGCTACAGGAGGACGCCAAGTGCCCACTGTGTCCAAAAGCGGAACTATTAAGAAACAGCTAGTGCTACGCACACAACCGTAACGGACGCTCGCCGTTGTCCGTCCGTTCGGAGTTAAGCCCATACTTACCACATAGCAAAGCTTCTGAAGAGCTCAAATGACCTACTTGCGCATTCATATCCCCTGCCAGAACTATGATATCAGAACTGATAACACTGCGTCGTAACGTGTTCAGTTCATGGTGGAAAACATCCTTCGCAGCATCAGAGTTGCAATCGGTGGGGCATAAGCGGAAACTACAACAAACAGCGTCTAATGCTACGCCGTGAATCAACCTTAATTGAGGTGGTCAAATGGAGTGCACATAAACGGCTGCTCACGGGAATCCAATCAACCAAGGATGACTCGGCCCTGGAGCTGAGATCGATGCCCACTCCAACCTGATCAGTGGTTACCGCATCAGCGTCTCCGGATGAGTGCAGCCAATAGCAAGAGGATAAACCGGTTGCAGTCAATTCCACGAGCCCGTGAGGGTCATTGATCCTAGTTTCGGATACGTAACACACGTCAATATCCAGCATGTGTAACGTGCGAGCGAGTGCAGCTTTTTGACTAAGTTGCTTAGAGTGCGAAAGTTGAACGCCACCAGGGAAACGGGACGACGTGGCCTTACAAGGAGCTGTTGGTGATTAATGTTCAGTGGGTGGTGCGGGAACACAGCAGCAGATGGCATGACTCCAGTGACATTGTGATTGCTGTCAATTAAACTGGGAATTATAGAATGAAGGATAGCAATGGAGACTGAGGGGAGTAAAAGAAACAGTTGGAAATGAAAGAAGGGAGGTGCCAGCAGTAGGATATTTTCGCTTATCCACCTTGCTACAGCAAGGCGAAAACATCCAGCAGATAAGGGGACCCTTGATAATCTGTGCAGAATACGATTAAAGTTTGAAGAAGTCATGGACTTGGTGTATGGCCGTGAGACCCCGCCTGCTCGCTCTGAAGACACGAAACGGTTGTTGGTTCCAACAATCGATGTCTGCGCAGAAGTACTCGAGTATGGTGGTAATACCCCGTAACGAGCACAGAAGTCTGAGACCGAGTGCTTGGAGCAAACAGTTCCTATCTCCAAAATGTCATTCACCGACACCGCATACGTTAGCTCGGCTACGTAGTGTGTATGCCAGCTTGTCGCCTTCCCGTCGAGCGTTATTTGCGCTTCACGTAAGCGAGTAGAAAAATGACGACTTCATGCCCTTCATCAGTCGAGCTAGTCCGTCTTCCAGGCTTGGGGCCACATGCTACTGACATTCAGTAGTTGCAAACTTTGGAGGTTCCGGTCCGCAACAGACATCAGGTGTCAGTGTTGTTCCGCTGTATCATCCAATGTTTTGTGTTTAAACGAAAAAGGAGAAGCAGAAAATTCAACACGGCGTGTGCGAAACATAAAAGGCCATTATTTGTTCTACCACTGTACTCCATTTTTGGTATATCATCGCTTGCACTCCGGTTCCAGATTTGCCTGTCACTGTGGTATCCATAGAACGGCCACAGGAAGCCTGCGCCTACAGAGGGACTATGGGTGGCTTGCACTGCACCACCCACAGCTTCGACCATACACCTCACTTACAATGTAAATACGAAAGAATAAGACCGGAAGGCATGTGGATGGGAGCCACGTTTCATGAACGGAGCCGGTCCACACTTCTGCAACATGCACAGCAGCGACATTCCCGCCTATCATGCGTGCCAGATGTACACAAGGCGGTGGTCTGGGCCGCAGTACACTCCACAATGGATGGAACCGCTCTTTTAGCCTAACACGAGCACGAGGACTGTGCAGACCATCAGAGATAGGGTGGCTCAACAGCAGTTCACCTACACGGTGATTGCTTGGTTGTTGTTACCGCCTATTGGGTGAGTGCTGCCAGCTATGTGGACTATGCGTGCTATACGGTGAAATGGAAAGGACTACCAGCCACCGTAACACGCAAGTCCAAATTCAACGCACGACCTTAGCAATGGTCTAAAAGGAAGATCAGCTGAATTCAAGCTTTCAGTAGAGGACAACAGAGAATGGCATGGAACGATTGTACTTATGTAGCAAAACGTATCGTAACTCACTCAATGCCTTCTTAATCTGTTGGACGGATGTGAGATGCAACACCTCTTGGACAATGGGAATCAAGTGGTCGAACACATCCACCTCTCCAGTGGGTGTAACTAGCGAAGAAGAGCCACCCGTTGGGGAACCGCGAAACCGCAGACCACTGGATTCGTTGAACGACGACGGTGTTGAGATATGGCAACTCGAAGGAGAGGCATTGGAGAGTGGGTTGGAGAGATAAGTTTCATTTTTATCCTCCATAGTTGTCTCCTAAGTAGGTGGTTCAGGGGGAAAAAGTGACCAAATGAAAGAACCATAAAAGGGGAAATCAAACATAGGAACAGTGATCCTGGGCGATCGCTGGTTAAGTTACATAGTCGCTTTTGAAACACTAAAATGAAGATAAGCGTGAGAGAGTAGCGAGTGCCAAAGTGATTGGAATCAGAATCATGGGTTTCCTGTGACAATTGGTTTCCGTAAAATTTTACGCTATGATTAGCATCAGAGCATACTGGACGAGAAGAAAACGGATAAATTTGGCATATGTACTGCGTATCAGAGGCCAAAGTTAAAATATCTTAGGAAGCAGACCGGGTAACTGTCAAACGGCGGTAAGGAATTTCAATGAGCAGTTTACAGCAACTGGAGGACAACAGAATGCTTACGAATCCACTGTCAAATCGTATTATCAGAGGCACTAAGGTAGCATGGATTGGACCTGCAAGTTGAATGGTCGATAAGGAATTGTTTTTACCAAGTACATAGTGTGCAAATGTAACTGAACCCTTAGGGTGCAATCAGTAGTTTATTACACAGATTTTTCCTTATAATTACCGAGACCTACAAGGTTTTTTAAGGAGCGAGTTCTCAGATTTCCTATATGAATGCTGAAAATACAAGTAGATACACATCTGTATCGCTCCATCGAAATACTAGCGGGCACGTCCGCAGAAAAAGGTCGTTTATTGTCGCGCATTTGCCACACATTTCAGTTGTGCAAGGTGTCCTATGCAGGGCGCCTTCGACCTTACTTCACAAATGTTAACTACTGGAGTGCTGTAGGAACGTATACCTTCACACACCTCTCGCATGCGCAGCCTTCCAACCTACATGAACAGCCGTTTTCATCATCTGTAAAGGGGCATTATATTGTTCCAATGCAAAACATAGCTCCATACATGTTGAACTACGTCACTCTCGTGATCCCAACATGGATTACAATTTGGTATGAAGTGAGTACCGGTTGTATAGATAAATGCCACCGGATGTAGAAATCAGACGCATGATGGTGTTGTGTACCGGCGCTTGAGTTCCGTAAGTGGAGATTGCATCATACCAACCAATTAGTCAGATCGTCTTGGTTTCTCGAACCAGTTGAGTGATCCAAACACCTAAGGCGAACTACTCATGACTCCACCCACACTTGTCATCCACCGGAGTTCTATGTTCCCCTAACCAGAAAAGAAAATCGTCAGCAGTACACCGGCACACTGTATTGACGCTTCAGTGTCATGAGACCATCACCGGTCGCGCGTGGGCTGGGTATTTGCAAGCACACCCACTCCTACGCGGATTCCAGTCGGTGACATAAGGGTTGCAAACCAGGCGTGGAATCCTTCCGGAAACTGGCTGGACATTCCGTGTTCAACATCTGCGCCGACTGCTACCGATGACAGATTTTCGTGGCATGTTTGGCGTTTCTCGCATTACTGTCCCTCACGTTACAACTACTGACCGTTCTTTAAACTCAATGATCTATTCATCACGCACTTTCTGTTGATTGGCCACTAGGACTGCGCGTCTGTCCTTGCTCCAGCCGCTTTTGCGCTCATTCTGTTTTGTGGTCTTGCTTGATCGGCGAACTCCTGCTTCTCCATAAATTTGGTCACGTCACTGACGTTTACCTTGCTGGATCCCTGTGTGTGGTCTTGTGACTCATCTCGATTAGTCTTGCAGCGGACAAACTTCGTTGACTATGAAATAGTTACTAGCCTTTGTTGCAAGAACATCTTTGAGGTCCGTCATTTATTTTACGCTCGGTTGTTTGTCCAATAACACTGTGTCGGCCCGTAGCCTAGAGGTAACGAGCTTGTCTCGTAATCTTGCGGCGCGAGTTCGAATCTGGGTAGGGGTGGGCGTCCTCGCGGTATACTCAGCCCGCATGCGACTGGTGGTGGTCGCACGGCAGCGAAGCGCCGTTACGGCGTACAGCTGACACATTACTATTAATTACCAATAGCACCGTAGTTACCACTCGCCTTGACTTTTGACCGTCGACCAGTTCAGAGATTCGTAGATACATTTCGGTGGCCTATGCGTTCAGTTCTGGCACTGACGTGTTGGATTTTCAGGTGCTTCACGCGTCGATCAAGTATTTTAAGTGTTTTGTCCCTTGCAGAGATAAACTGCCATGCCACGACTCAGGGAATGTGGAGGCCCAACGGAAACTGGTCCTTGTGTTCGCCATAAGGGGAATGAATCAAGAATACGACATCGTTCCATGTGTCTTCAACATCATGAGAAAAATGATCACAAACGACTCCGCCCAAGTGTCAATCCGCTTAGCCTGGAGTAGGAGATGTGCTTGCGACCGACCATCAGACACAGAGTAGAGGGACGAGTTAATTCCCCCTGGACCGGGAGCTGCTGCTTCCGTATATGGTTGACACCTTCAAAGTACAGAGTAGACGACCACATGACTGAGCCAACAAACCACCTGTCCTCCTAAAATTGAGAAAAGAGCCCGAAGTAGCTGATAGGTTCCCTTGGCTAAGTGTTCGTACACTTTCGGTAACCATATCGCCGAAGAGGTTACGAACCCATTTCTGAGACATGTGTGATCTTCTAAAACCCTAGTCACTTAGGTTGAATGTGGAGATGATTGAAAGAGAGGACTATACAACAACGCAGCACGCCCATTGTTTCCGTGTGGATCAAACACTCGACCACTGCGTGCTGGGAAAACTAACAGATTGACGACTGTGCTTCGCTACAGAGGCTTGCGAGGTACTGCTTATCTCTAATAACTAATAAGCCAGTTCGCCATTGGGTGCTTGGCAACAGTTAGTTCAGTGCCGCGAAGCGTAGTAATTCTACAGCCCGATCCGCCGCCCACGTTGGCTATTTCATGTACTTCGAATGCTTGCCAACAAGGTGTCCCGGTGTGCGCTATTTGCCAGTAGTGCACTCCGAGGTGACTAGCTGAGGATGTCACAAACGCAACAAAGAAACTCATCGAAAAGCTGGCTGATCCGAGCTTGTGTCGTTCGTCTCAAAGACTCAGTCTTCGAGATCGGGTCATATCAGTGGTTGGACACATCGCTGGAACTGCGCGGTCACAGAGCCACTGGCGCTGTAACACTCGTCCTTTCACTTAACTGATGATTGAGATCTCCAAATTCTCTGGAATACTGGTGTTTGACGAGTTAGTTACACAGTTGTTTGCCGAGCTTGGAAAGTTAATTGCAAACGTTTTGACACCAATCGAGATGACATCATCGGTGCAGAGTTGAAAGTAGCTTAGTCGCGAAAGCTCATGCTAGGCAAATCCACGAATGGATGACACCGATTGCTGCGCCTATCCTGATATAGTTTGTCGGCGACATTAGATGCGCTTCATTCTGATTGGCAGTTCGACGAGGTATTCAATGGGAGATGGATTGATTCTGATTGGCTGCGGGTACAGTGTTCCGATGTGTTGTGATCCTCACAGTCCCTTTGTCTTCTTCTATATTTATGAGAAAATAAGCTGTATTTTGAAAAACTGGGCAATAAAACGAGGTTGGCTATAGACCGGGTGGGAAATAAATAAGGTTTGAGTGTAGTTCGTTGCATTAGATTACAAGCCAAGTGAGCGAACTGTTAACTAGTGAGTTAGAACTGTTATGTTAGTAAAAATTTATAAGTACCTTGGCGTAATTTATAACTTCTTGAGCAGTCGACACATATCCGATTTGGATTATGGTCAGCCGGACATACAACGAAATGACAAGGCATCATGCTTATCTGATTTATTTATTCCCTTTTCAGCTAAATTAACATTGAATTACGGTTTGAGCAACCCCAGGTGACCCATTTCTTGCTGTGCGACATTAACCGAACACACTGCTCGAACTCAAGAGTCGGAGTGGCTATTGGTGAATCTGTTGTTCTCATTCAAGGGTAGCTCTATTCGGCCTAAGCTGTACATCCCAGAATGCGTCGGTATCGTGATTCGACTAGCACTGCGATCTCTGTTGTAACATGTGCCATACGCAAATAATGACATGGATTTGATAATCGAAAGTAAAGACAGAGAGCTATAACGGCCGAAGATAGCTTGAAACGGCAGCACATTATGTTCCAAGTTGCACACTACTCATGAGGAAATAAAATCACAAAATTGAAAAAGTAATTGAACAAATAACGCCCGGCAGACGCATAATGTCGTTTCGAAAATCAAGTCCGTCAAGCGACACACTCAACTAACTCCTCATTGGTAGGGTAGATTCTATACTACTATTTATGGAGGCAGATCTAGCTGTTACAGAAGTTCTTGAGTATAACTGTATCATGTCCTTATGGGTAGACTACTTCAGCGAAGACATTAAACGCTTGGACGTGTCTGATCACCGGTGCTTACGGACTACTGCTCACATCTGGTAGGAACACCAGGTGAGCAATGCTGAGATTTTTGGCAAGAAGCCTTCTGGTACCTCACTCGAATGTTTACGAAATCCTAATCGCTTACGTTGGGTAGGCCATGTCCTCTGTAAGCCTGTTGACCGGCCTCGTCGGCGTGCATCATACATCGTGGCTACACCAAGTTGGGCGAGACTGCGAGGTAGTTAGTCTATGACTTGGCATAGAAGCATGAAGAAATGGACTGAGGGACTTGGTCAGGTTGGTTCGTGCCGTCTTCGTGGGTGGGATCTTCGGGATAGTCTACACCAATGGTTAGAGACTGTAGTAGACATAGCGCAGTCATGCAGTCAGTGGAGTTACTGCATTCGATTTCTTGCATCTGGTCGTTAGTTTTCGTCCCATTCTGATTAGTTTAACGCACTTCCTTCTTGCTTCTGTTGTCATTACATTCCATTTGCCTTTGACCCCACTATCTTGCCGTTGTTAGTTATTGGTGTTCTTGTGATGTGAGTCGTGCCAACTAGATCCACCGCACTTCGGTGCTCGGATCATAGTTGTCCAACTGAACTGTCCAGACTACTAGTACCGCCTGGGTAGCTACACCGTCAACAAATCTTTGTGTCGACGTTGTTGACATGCATTTCCCGCTGGGGTACGGAGCTAAGGAGGAACGCGATCGCTTCAACAAGAACGATATAAATAAAAGAAGATCTAACACAGGTTTCCAGAGAGGACTCACGTTGTCAGCTCCATTTGAATCAGCGTCCTGAAGAGAAGCACCCACAGCCAGAGCGATGACGCTGCGCACGCGTTGAGCAAAGTCAGTAGAGCACTCATTTGGTAAACGGCTCATGGGCTCCAGATAGGTTATGTAATAGATAGTGAAGGGGACAAAGAGGTGCCACAACAATTCAACAAACCAGTTGAGGGGATATTCGACCTAAGTGAGTAAAAAGGCAAATACAAAGCAATTTAGGTATACTGTTAGGGCTTCACCTTTCGTTCACTCATCCATGGGCGGACAGTATGAAGATAAACGCTCGTGCCAGCAAATCAATCAAATCGGAGTGATATGGGGTAATGTATGTAGAGCCTTGCTCAAGCACACAAAATCCCATTTGTTGTAAGGCAAGGGTTAGTAATGTTGCAAGTTGGTTCCACTTGTCCATCTGTAGCGCAACGCATGCATTCATTAATCGTGGGGATCAGACCATAGTCGAATTCTGCATAAGAAAGAGTTAGAAATGAATTCATAAACCGGTAAGGATGAAGAGATGTAGTAGAGACAATAAGGTACGTCTCCATGTGACGTGGGGTGGAAGAAAGTAAAGAGAGTCGGAAAAGTGTAACTGATCAGACTCATCGTAACATGTTTTAAGGCGAACGCTGTCACGACTGACGACCAAAGATAACCCATGGAGATGAAGTCTTTACAAGGCGATCAAGCGATCTGATGGTTCAATCAGAGCCGTTGTGTCTCAGGTGAGAAGTTAACAATCATGAGGTGCAAGGTGATAACGTGCGTGGGGATAATGTGTGATGCAAGTTGGACCTACTTACGCAATGCGAAGATCAGGTACTGGAGAACGAAGAGTTAAGGTGGAGAGCTTAACGAGTGTCGCTGGTTCCACTGTCCCTCAGAAAGACATCAGGATCGAAGAGACACTGATGATTGAGTGGCCGATGTCAACCCAGTTACTTTGACGATGAAAGGGGTATGCACTATGCAGTCGCAGACAGTCAACGGAACCCTCTCAGAGCGTGAGGAGTTCTAAGCTGATCACCTGATTCTACATTAAATACTACAGGGGCTTGTACGGCGCTGTGCTAAACATAATGTGACCAGCTATAGGGTCACTGGCCACTCATTTCTGTAACCAGATGGCGGATAGACAACCTTGTTGGCCACTGACATTTTGTGTGGAATGCTACCGAACGCTAAGAAGGCGTATGAACCACCTGTCTGCCAACGGTCTGCGAATTTAGCGGCCCGTTAGAGGTTTTAGGGAACAGTTACTGACCTCTGTGCTGCTGTGCTCGGGGTGGTCCAGTGCTATGAGTAGCGTGTTATTAATCAAAAGTAGTGTTACCAGCTCTCGATGATCCGAGATATAGGTTAATCGCTCCGCTGCAATACTGGTCAGGTCGGTACGACATAAGGCTCCGGGTGGGGTTCCCTAAGTCAACCCTTTTCTCCCAGCCTGGGCGACCAAGAAGTTCCAGACCTAAGAGCATGAACTCACGTAACACCGCTCTCCATTTATGGTCCCTGCCCTTGCTATCCTAGACCGAGGTGCTAACGGCCGGCTCCGTTATACCATGCTCTACCGAGCCATCTACAAGATATTTTGTTCCTCATTTGCTGTACCGACCTATTTTGATAATCCCTCCCTGATACCGAGTCTCTGACAGCTTGAAGCCTTAACGGACAGTTCTGACCGTATCGATGAGCAGTTCAAGACCGTCCATGTGCCGCACAATCGAGAAGACAGGACCGTTCTAGCGCTCTGTTCCCAATTCAAGTGGGCCGCTTTCGATGTCCGAACGCCCAGGTAGATGGCAACGCAGGAAGCCTTTGTTCACATTCAGGAATCCCTCATCGAGATCTGAAAGATAGTACGAAGGAAAAATATGAGAGCGGGATAATCTGAATTCAGCTTATTCCGTCTTCTCAATCAGCCGCTCTAATGTTGTTCTTCCTTGCTATCTTAAAGTTTTTGAAGGGAAATGGATGTATGAAGTTCTTGAAGTAACGCTACTCTCCGGACACATCTCGTTCATCGATTTCTGTTACCAGGCTGAGACCCACTTACAGGACTCAGCATCCCCAAGACTGGCATTACCAAGTGCGTAGCAGGCTTTCGAATAACCTCGTGGTGGCAACTGAGCGCTGTGGGATTATTCCTTTCCAACTAACCGTTCGGCGGTGGTGGGTTTATGCCTGACAAGCGTTGGCCATATAAAAACCCACATAGGTCTGCTTAACAACATGGTGACGTGGTGTCTGTTATTCGATACTAAGTAAAGTCACTGCCCCTTCGAAATAATTTGGAACACTGGTAGCCCGGCTTGGTTGCTCATCTGTTGATCGTTTTTCCGAGCTTGGTAAAGGGATCGCATACGTTTCACCACCATGCGAGGTGGCACCTTCAGTGCGGTAATAGGCAGTGTATAATGCTGCTTATTGAATTGTCAGTCCGTCATCCACGCGCAGGTGACTTTTGAAGGTGGCAATTTCGATTTGCGTCACGTGATCTCTGCCCATTTGCTTCCGCGGCTGAACCACGGCGAATCGCAAGACGGAAACAAATGGGCAGAGATCACGTGACGTAAATCGAAATTGCCACCTTCAAAAGTCACCTGCGCGTGGATGACGGACTGACAATTCAATAAGCAGCATTATACACTGCCTATTACCGCACTGAAGATGCCACCTCGCATGGTGGTGAAACGTGTGCGATCTCTATACCAAGCTCGGAAAAACGATCACTGCCCTTTGTTTAACTCTGGTGGAGCAATGTGTTCCAGTAATATGAAGTTAAATTTGTGGAGAGGATTGGGCTCATGTTTTCAAGTCAAGTCAAGAAGCTAAGCTTCATCCACCCGTATGGGTGCACTTTTAGCATTTTCACACCAACACTGCGGACTATGGCATAACATAGTACCATTGAGAAATGACAATTAATAGCAGTAAAAGAAAATTTGCATTTTCAATCAAGCATACAGTCACCAAAGCGGCGTTTCACTCCTGTTGGGTCTATTAGTAAGCGTGATAAAAAAGGTAAGATAGAGTTTCGATACGATGAGGTAAAAGAATATAAAACTTCAAATTTCGTCCGTGTGTACCAAGTAGATCTAGTGCTGGCTAGGATAACATGTAAAGAATGTGAGGAATGATTTAAATTCGTGGATGACAAGTTGATGCACGCGTCAAAATGTTAACAATGAAATTTATGGGCGCTTCTTTCCCTAAACCGGAGTAACGTGAAGTAAATTTTAGCGAACGGACAAGAAGGACATAATCCGTTTGAAGCAGTCCTGAGAAAATAAACGGGGAATAGTATAACGACCGAGGGAGAACACATGCAGTCACAAACAGTAGAATAAAAGCACGGGGAACGGAAAGCATTTTAAGTCTGGTAGCGTAAAAAGAGAGCCTTCTAACTTTTTTTAGATGTTTTAAGAACATGCGTAAATCAAGATAAATTGTGAGATAGGAAAAGTCCTAGATATTTCACGGTAGATGTGCGAGGTATGTTTCGGCCATCCACACTAACTGGAGGAGATATATGTACAAGGGATTGCAGTCTGTTGGGATGTAGGAATCAGTACCTTGCGTCACAACAATTGGAAGGGTTGAGAAGGCGGGACCGGGATCTAGATCAACTTACCATTTCATCTAACCCCGTGGGAATTTCAAAGAGTCCTCGATGGTTGAGGCTATGCGTCCCAAGACGACATCATCAACATGTTTACAGCATATGAAGTTTGATGGAATAGGGAGACTTTCAACGTAGGCGGTAAGTAGAAATGGGGACAGGATGGCTCCCTGCAAAACACCACAATTGGCTGGGAGTACAGAAGACTTTTTGTTGCACAGCTGCGCGAAGTGGGTGCGACTTGTGAAGTAATCACGCATCACACTGCACATCTATGGAGGAACGCCATTTTCGGATAAACTGTTGAGCAGTTATGATCCGTAAGGCTCGCGAATGCGTTTGTGTAATCGAGAAATACGAGCCCACGTTGTTGCATCTATTATCCAATGCGAACGCAATGGAATGCACCAGTTAAGAAACAGTATCCAATGTAGAACGTTCTGGTTTATAGACAACCAGTTTGAGATCATCGGCATGATTGCCTGTGAAAATGCGGAGGACCAGTGGTCTTGCAAATACCTCTAAAGGCACAGACGCGCACGCAATTGGTCGACATTTCCGAGATCATTTTTTAGGCATCAGCGTTATTCAGGCTGATTTCCAAATGTCGGGAATGGTACAAGTCTTTAAGCACCGACTCAAGACTTATGTCACAAGTGTAGTTAAAGCATCTACGCATTCCTTCAGAGATTGTTGATAGAGCATCCGATACACTAGTCTTGTATGAGTTCAGCCCTTTAAGCTTATTGCAAATGCTTGCGGAAACAAATGAAGTAGGATTCTCAGTAGTGGTGTTTGGTAACCGATCAAACGAAAGGCGCATGAACTAGGCAAGTAGTCACCGGACCCCAATTAGCGTAATTCCATGAATTCCCTCTCCCCGTGCATTGCGAGTAGGCTATTTATCCAAAGTCTCAGAGTAGTGTCCCTTAACTCAACTCCCTACTTCGGCTTAGGCAACCGGGTAGTAGCACGCCTCTCACGAAACCATGGACTGTGCTATAACGTGCTCAGCTGCTACAGTTTCTGCTTCTTACATTCACGTGACTTAATCACACGACAATCACTTATTTGTTAACAATCGCCGTTATCGATTACCTGATTCCTGTGTTTATGGATCTGCTTGCGATTACATCGCTTGCGGTTACAACGCGAATCATGGAGTTCAACTTGCGGCCCTCCTTCGACTCCGATCTTCGTTCCATCTGGAGCGCTTCAACGTACGGACACTGAAGTCCCTCGATGTTGACATCTGCCGCCTTTCTATGATCCGATTGCAGGACCCCTGCACTGTGCTTACGTTGACGTCCACACTAACCACGAAGCCACATCAACCGTCTTTCTGGAGACAAGAAACAGCCTCAGCGGGTCTGATTGATGTAGGTACGAATTTAAATGAAAAAGCAGGACTGCTTCCCAATTAACAACCCTGTATGCAGTACGGCTTCGGCGTTCTTTTAAAATCAACAGGCACAACTTTGTGTGATCTCCGCGTACGCTCCAACTTACTGCACTAGTTACTTAGTCAAGGGCGACTTCTATCGAGAGCCATATCCGCTTT